GAATGAGAGAGAACTGATCAGGTCTGGAGTCTCACGCCTGTAAACACAGGTTAATGTCTTGTTACTTTTTAAAGCACAAAGCTCAAGGGTTTCCAACGTTATTGTAAAAAAAGTGATTCAATATATTTTTATAGGAACTATGTTTATCAAAAACTACAAGCTGATGTCATACTGAGTGACAGCCTTTAGACTAAATCTGAAAAAATATGCATCAGCACCTATTTATGTACTATTTATCATTTTAAATGAATTGTTTATTTGTTTATAATTAAAATAACTAAATCACATATTGACAAAATCACACAAAAAACAACAACAACAACAACAGAGCTGTATTCAGACAATCTCCAAATTTTGGTTGCAAAAAATTGCAACCTTATATAACACAAAACATTCTTATGTGGAAATATGAGTTTATCAAAACTATAAACCAGATTTAGTCACAGCTTCATTTAGGCAAACCCTGCAACTGTTAGTGCCCTTATTTACTTTTCATTTATTACATTTGAATTCATTTATTGTTTATTTGTTTGCAGAGCTGCTTTGAAACAGTCTGTACTGTACACAGTCATTCCCCAAATTATGGCGGCAGGAATTGCAACCTTATACAACATAAACAACAAATAATTTTCTTATGTGAAATAATACGTTTACAACAATAACAAACACTGCAACACTGTTACCTATTAGCACCCTTATTTTCATCTGTATTTATATAATTCAAGAAAGTATCTATTAATCACAGCTGTGTATTTAGACGTTGTCCAAATTTTGTTTGCAAAACGTGCAACCTTTGACATGGCATAAATAATAAATAAAATGTCCTGAAAAGTCACCTTCTCCTTGTAATACCTGTCATACCTTTGTCATTATACACATTTATGTCCTCATTTGTCACAAAAACACGCACACACACACGCGCACACACACTCGCACACACACACACATACACGTACACACACTCACTCACACACACACACACACACACACATACATACACACACACACGCACACACACTCACTCTCACACACTCTCCCCCACACACACACACACACACTCACACACACACACACACACACACACACACACACACACACACTCTTTACAATAATTTTTTGTGTGATTATTAGTTAACAGCATTAGTTAACATGGACTAACAATGAATAACACTTCTGCAGTATTTATTAATCTTAATATTAAGTTAATTATCACAGCACACCTCGCTTTTCAGACCGATGAGCTTTGTAAAAATCGACGCGTTTCAGAAAGGCGGGGCATAGAGGAGAAACAATAATGTACAGTATGTGGAAAATAATGTGTTTTTTTAACCTTAAACCACATAAACACATTTCATTACACCAAATACACAAAATAATGTTCTATTTAGCAGCATCATATGACCCCTTTAATGAAAAGTTGTATCTCTTAACATTAGTTAATGGACTGTGAACTAACACGTAGAAATGATGAACAACTGTATTTTCATAAACTAACATTAGCATTAGGTTAATAAATGCTGCAAAATACATTAATTGTTTCACTGTTAACTAATGCATTAGCTAATGTTAACAAATGAGACCTTACAAACACTTCTTAAGTCTTTGTGCTTCTCAAGTAAATGTATCGTGATTCAGGAATGTTTAGATAACTGTACTGAAACAAGACAAGAACACTGAGGAAGAGAATCATGTCCAGCACATTCACAGCTACACTGCAATGCTGAATGATATGGTTGGTCCTGCTGTTTGAAGCGCAGTGTTTTCTGGTTCTCTGTCTCTGCAGGAGTTTTCCTCTCTCAGCTGAACAGGGTTTCTGTGACGAGGATCTTTCTGATTTGGCCTAAATGTGCAACATTCATCGGCCAGACGCAGACTAGTGTGCCAAAAGCGGATGGGTGCTCTGGCGCTATGAGAGATATCAGATCAAATGAAGCTGGAGCGGGGGGTGAGGGTGGCACTTGGGAACCAACAACTGAGTCAATTCTGCTAATTAACTGCCAATTAGCGGTCCCTAAATGCAAGCGATGCTGACGATGTTCTCTGCCAGCAGCTCGCGCCGCCACTCATCTCCACTCGTCCTCTTGAGCGGTATATTTAGAAAGAGCGGCCGCGGGACTCCAGAAAAAGACTGGACGCTCTCATCTAGGTCAAAGTTAAATGGATAACCAGTATTTTCAGTCGTGTGTAACACACAGACAGATAGACGGTGTGTGTGCGAGGGCAGATCTGTGTGTTTAAACTCAACGCTCCAAACTTTCCCATGCTCTGAGGAGGAAAATCAAACATCTTCACAGGCCAGCTTATACTTTTTACATCACATTTGGAAAATATTAAGCCATTATTTTGAATTTCATAACAGCCGGTCGTGCCAAGTGAAAGGGTCATAAAAAACATAAAGCTGATCTGTTTGTTCGTGACTCATTTGAGTTCAGGGCGAGAGAGAGAGAGTTTTGAAACCCTTTCTCCAGACGTCTCAGTATAAGCAGACTAGGATGAATCCCTCATAATGATTATTCATATAAAGACTAAAACCGAGCCACAGACTGGACACCAGCAGAGATGGTTCAGTCTGAGCTTTAGATCCTGAGACACAACTGGTGAAACAACAACAGATGACCAATAAAAACACAAATACAGCGAGTGAGTGTGTGTGTGTGTGTGTGTGTGTGTGTGTGTGGGCATCAGGTAAGATCAGATCCACAAATCCTGCAGATGTCAAAGGTCGTTCATAAGTCACCTATTCCACTCCATTTGTCAGCTCATTAGTCAAATGAGTTTCCATGAGTGACAACACAGAGACAGAGACGCAGAAATAACCCATCATGTGGACATTAACACAATAAACTTCATTGTTCTTCCATCACTTTTCAAATCATCATTTATTCTGTGGTGGAAATTACATTTGAAACTAATTCCTTTGTCTTGTCATATCTCACTTTGTATGTGTCCAAAATACAATTAAATATTATTTTCACACTTAGTTTTTTCGTTTGAAGAAATTATAGCTTGTTTGTAAAAGATGCACAATAAAAATATTCAGTAAAGAATTGCACTGACTTTTGAAAAATGCGGTGGAAATGATGAGTGAAAAATGCTATTTACCAATTTCACATATTGAAATGGTTTGTGATTATTTCACTATTAGTTTGGATCACAGTTTTATGTGTAATAAATAATATTTGTATATAGTATTTTAAACTCTTGGTCTGTGATTAGAAAAAAATTATGAAGGCATGGTGAAACGATTCCAAGACTGTTTTAATAAAAGTTAACCCCTGGGATATAAAAGTTCCTGAAGTTGAAGAAACAGTCAGAAATGGCTACAAGAGCAACCGATAATGAGACAAACCCACCTCTCTTTCATAATGCTGTGTGTGTGTGTGTGTGTGTGTGTGTGTGTTTGTGTGTGTTTAGCAGAGGTGTGTTGCTGTCAGTATGTGATCAGGCCTCATTTAGACAGACAGAATAACACACACACACAGCTGCACTTATGGTGTCATGTGTAAAGCGTCTCTCTCTCTCTAAGGTCAAACAGGATTGCTGTGCAGTCTCAGACCACCACCAACACCAGTGACCGTCACACACTCACAGAGCAGAGATCATATCCACGGCGCAGAGAGAGATGGACAGGTAGACGGGCTGGTCAGAGCAGGAGACGCGCCGTCTATTGACACGTTACACAGAGCACCCTTGTGCCTCCTCCAGCTCTGATTGTGCCTCCGAACAAAGACCTGATTCAGGACATCCATGCAAACCTCGTCCTGCCCGTCTCTCTCCCCTGTGCTCCATATCAAAGCAGGATCCACACAATGACCATCACAGGAGGACTCCGGGGCGATCTGGCCCATCAGCAGGAACATCAGGAGGATCTGAGAGCTGAGCGAACGCTACCACAAATACAGCCTAACCTCGGACAGACGGATGGAAGGATAGATAGATAGATGGATGGAAGATGGATGAATAGATAGATATATATATAGATAGATAGATAGATAGATAGATAGATAGATAGATAGATAGATAGATAGGTCTCTATCTATCGCTCATTGTCTCTTGGTGGTTCTTTTGAGGTTTTGGGGTTATTTCAGCATTAATCAGCATGAAACAGGCAAAGCAGCTCAATGTCCTGCTGCTGTAGTTGTGTGACGGCATGAAAGCTTGGTTACCACTGTAATTGAAACACCATCCAGCAGCCGGGCGCGTGAAAGGCAGATAACGGCATTCCTGTGGCCAATTTAAGTACCTGGTCAGATCCGGCAGACAAATCAAGCTCATTCTCCAGGCGTGTTGCTCATTGTGAGCCGACACCAGAATGAGGTGTAGGGGAAAAATGAATCACAAAAGCAAAAAAATCAATTGACCCCGGGGAGGTGCGCGGGCCTGCGGGCCGATAAAGCCGAGAGCCGCCGCCTGTACCTAACAGATAGAGCGCCGCGTAAATGAGTCCGCTCTGATAAATACATTAAGGGAAGCCGTGAATAAAAGGCAGGGACTTCTCATTTGTAAATAGAAGCTCCACTACACAGAATTAGACTGATAAAATAGCGCTCCGTATAATTAAGTTTGTGTAAGGCCAGAAAATCCGTGCAAATACCTTCCCGGTGTTTTGAAAAGAAGCTGTCAGCTCAATTAATCTGAACATCGGCTGCAGAATGTAGCGAAGGAAATTAAGCCTGCGATAAAAAAAGAGCCCGGCCGAGTATTTTGATAAATAATGCCTGTATCATTTCTTTGGCTCTGTGATCATTATATTTAATCCACCACCTCCAGTTATGAGCTAAGCCATCTACAAAGACGCTGCCGGCCAGAGCACCGCGGCTCTAATCCGGCACGGAGCAGATCGGGGAGGAGGTGCACCACTGTCCTCTTCCTCTTAATGCATCAAAGGGACACAAATGTGGGTCGAACGGCAAAGAGCCGTGCCGATAATGCGCGAGTAGAGTCAGTAGAGCCGACGGTCAACGCTGCTGGCAATAGAGATGAAAAGTGACTCGACTCACCAGTTGTTTACTTGTAAGATGGTGAGGCCCGTGTCTTGAGCGAGCTGCTTCTTCTGTTCTTCTGAAGGATACGGGTGCTGCAAGAGAACACAAGAGAACACGCTCCGTCAGGATCACGGGAAACAACACAGAATCAGACTCACAGCTAAACAACAGCAACTAGTCAACAAGTAGCAACAATGAATAGCTCTCTGTCAATTATTAGTTTGCTTCTGCTGTGCTTCATTACGCACCACTCTGTTTGTTGTTATGATCAAAAGTTGAAATATTATATTTTAGACTTGTCTGCCTCATCCGTGTCACAAAAAACTGAGATAGCCAATCAAATCAAAGAAGGCGGGGGATTCCATCACAACCCTTCAGTTTTAACAGTCAAAGACTGTGAGGTGCAATACGAGTAGCTAAGCATTTAATATTTGCTTATAACTTTAACAATAGAAATGTTAGGCAGACAACTGAAATTATGCTGTTTTGAATAAAAACCGCAGACATTGATTTTCAAGTTTCATTCATGAATAAAAATAAAATGCAAATAGATCAAACTGACTACAATAAATTCTATTTTTGACTTTTTTTTTGCTAACACTTTATTTCAATAGTCCACTTTAGACTAGCAGTTATTAAAGCATTAGTGACTGTCTGCTTCATATCTGATAGCACTTTATTTTAGTGGTCCTCAACTGACTATATGCAGCTTATATGTCAGCTTATTCCACTAACTAACACTAACCTAATAATGTACTAATACTCTAATGAGAGTTAGCTGACATGTAGTTGAGAGTCAAAAGATTGTCTAAATGGGACAATCAAAATAAAGTGTAACCCCTTATTTATTCCCTTTAAATCTTTTAATTATAGAAAAAAAAGGTTGTACCCCCCAGTGTTGAAGTCATGGCACTAGCGATGAGGGTAAGTGGTTGTGAATCCAGCCTTGCACATGCATCTTTCACAATATGTCTGCAGCAAAGGCAAGTGTCTTCTGTGTGTGTTCAGTTTTATGAGTGAAAGACTGAAGTTGGAGAATGTGTGTAGTTACAGTGGTCAAGTGCTGCTGCTTCTGCTGCTTGTGTGACGCAAACACCAACATGACAAGAGATCAGCAGGGTGAGGGGTGCAGATCCGGAATAAGACCGATTTAACAGAAGGATGCGTAAAAACAGCCGCAGAAAATCCCTCATGCTAAACACACAGAACTGTACGGCACCGCAGTGAATTCTCCAGTCAGATTAAACACATCGCTCGGAGCGGAAAGACAGAAAACATCCTCCTTTCCTCGACGGTTAGACAAATTACTTCAGCTCGTCCCTTGTGTCGCTGATGAACACAGGCCAAGCGCTAAAGCAAGACGTTTCTGCAAAGGTCTCTTACTGCCAGGAGTCGCACCTGCAAACACAATCCCCGCACGGGATGCAATGATACAATTTGTGTCACTGTTGATCTGCCAAATGTGACATGATAGAAATGGCAGGATTGAATTTGTGCCGAGCGTGTCTCGAGCATGACAAACAATAGTGATCAGCACTGACAGATGTCTTTAAGAGGCAGATTAAGAACCAAACAAACCTCACGCTCCACTTTTATTCAGCCCTCGCCACATATATGCGCCCACACACACGCACACACACTCTCTCTCTCTCACACACACACACACACACACACACACACACACACGCACACTCTCACTCACACACCGGTCTGTCTGCAGTAGGTGTAGGTGGCACATCTCTCTTCTAGTAGGTCAATCTTACAAATTGTATAAAAGTCACCAGGAACAAAAGCATAAAATAAGCTCGACTTACACGCTGCTGAATTTTGACCCTGAGCGCTCACGTTGAGAAACAAATGGCCGAGGTTTAATTAAAGAGCGGGAGGAGGGAACTTTTCAGGAATGTGTCCAATTAATCAGAAAACAATTGTAAGATTGAACAAATAATGAAGGAAAAAGAGACGCATGAATCAGATTTCTACTTGTGCACACTGGAGCTT